TTGACATTGTCTACATTTCTCACATTATAAGCGCAATAACTTCGTAAACTGTGTCTACCACTATTATCATTACAATTATAAAGAGATTTCAAGCAATACATGTACTGAGTTCGGTTATATTTAACGATCTAAAATTATTTTTTTATGTTGCTGTTCACACAATTTCACATGTGACGCTTTGGTGGTCTCCATCTATTTAATTGAATGGGTTACTTTCATGATTTTTAATGAAGGCACATAATGATTTTTTTTCGCTAGCGTCTACTTTCTAGTTGTAAACATAAAATTATTCGGTCAAAACGTTAACAATTCTTAATATTTAAATTAAGATAACAGTGTTTTTCGTACATCGGTGTTGGAGATATTTCGTTTATTGTAAATTGTGTTTTTTATCAGAAATCTCTTTTATTGTCTAGTGCTGAGATATTTTAGTTTGTCTTCAGGCTATAAACTGTGTTAACGCTCAATATTTGCTTGATCTACATATTTCTGTACGCCGATGCGTACATTTTTAGTGTTTTACTAACATACTATATGATTTGGTGTTATTTTTGTTGTATGTACTAAAATATTGTGTTGATATGTAGAGATTGATATATCAAAAAATATCTTTTTGTTAATTTAGTTCCTATCTTAGGCCTCGGCTTTGTTTGCATGAAGTATCTGTATAACCAAACAAACAGAATTAGTTTATTATTCAGAATATTATTTAGCTAATTTCGTGACTCACGGTTGATATTTTTCATAATTTAGTTACGGCCTTAATTATAACGTTAACTCTCTTTTTTGTAACTGAAATGCTAAATATCTGAAGGTACATCTGGTGGTAAGTAGTAAACAGTAAAAAAATCTGCACTTTCATTATCCAGCTGTGGCATACAAAAACATGCTAAAATTTGCTAAAATGACAGGTCCCTTCTATTTTAGCTTAGTTTATTTTAATAATAAATGAATAATAATAATATGTAGAGCACCATGAGGATAATATTTTAAGAAAGGTGTTACATATGATTGTGGATGGTTATAAGGCCAGAGGAAGACCGAAAAAGGGATGGATGGACTGTGTGAAAGATGATATGGTAAGAAAGGAAGTAAATAACGCGATTACTGCGAACAGGGATGAATGGAAGCGAAAAACATATTACGATGATGATGATGGAGAGCACCATCGCATATGACGCTCCCAAGACCTATGTTAACATTCTAGAGGACTAAAATGTCACCCCTCATATCCTGTAATTTCACTGCCATATCCTGTCCTTTAACCAAACAGCTTAAAGAAGCTGCTTCACCGCTGGCTGAAATGAGTGAGACTAATGTACCCGCAGATGACTTTGTACAAAGTCTAGATCTACTTTGATCTAGTTATTGTCTATGGTTTATATCCCCTCAATTGTAACGTTAACGTCATTTTACTTTAATATCTTTCAAGGAGCAATAACTGCTTATTACAGAAACCCGTAGGTGGTAACTGGAGTAAAGATTTGTCATCTCCCGATTACGTAATGTGTGATTTGTGCCATAGACTCAATTGAGCGTGATTGATCGCTCCTGTCGTTTATTGTCTATGACTCACATAATGAGTTTCAGTTTTATAGGTTTGTGCCCTTGGTTTGTGATTCTGTATGTTATTGGTTTAGTTCTAACACTCCTTAAATATATATAATTGTTACTTCTATTGTTCTCTTTTATGATTTACTCAGATTATATTAAGATTAAGCAACTGTGAATCAGTGTCTTCGAAATCTATATATGTAGCATCGTATTGCTCTTTAAAGATAATTTCAACTCATATATTCCGAGCAAATATAGATTTATCTACTTCTCTTCATCATTACATAGTATAAAACAAACTCACTGTCGCTGTCTGTCCCTATGTATGCTTAAATCTTTAAAACTACGCAACGGATTTTAACGTGGTATTTTTAATAGATAGAGTGATTCTAGAGGAAGGTTTATATATACATGTACAGGCGAAGCCGAGGCGAGTAGCTAGTCTAGAATAATTAGAATAATACAACATTTAAAAATTAATTACAGTACAAATTAATTAGTCGCGGATAATAACCGTTTATAACACTGCACAGAGCATTGCAAATTTTAGAAACTGCAACATAGTATATATGTAACTATATCGTTATGAATCTAAAGTAATTAAATACTCGATAAGGCTTTAATTATGAAAAAAACACACACTATTAATCCGAATATCAGTGATTTCATCGGGAAATTTGTTATGATACATGCGTAGAGTTAGTAGTCGGTGTAGGTATAAAGCTAGATGCACACGAGCGCAATATATAATATATTAACATAGATATATCATGAGTAATTTTATAGAAAACATAAATATCTAAATCTACTAGGTCTTTAATAGATAATAATGAAATGGTGCACCCGTCTGCGCTAACGGTGGTTGGTGCATCAGTGGAGGATGATAGGATGAGCACGAGGTCAAGTCAGTTAGCACATCGTGGTGAATTTATATCTTTTATAAATAGTCTAATTTTGCATGTAATGCGTAGGAATGAAGATCATATCCTAAGGAAGGTGTTACATATGAATGTGGATGGTTATAAAGGCAGAGGAAGGCCGAATAAGAGATGGATGGACTGTGTGAAAGATGATATGGTGAGAAAGGGAGTAAATAATGAGATGATTGCGAACAGGGATGAATGGAAGAGATGATGAAGGAAGAAGCAGATGATGATTAATAGTGTAATATTATATCTTATATTTATATCTTTCATTTAATTTTTACAGCCAAACTTTCATTTCAAGCTGTTTTCTTATATCTGCATTGAGTCAGTTAGCACATAGTGCAGTAATAGTGGATTTACATCTTTCGCCGTTCTTTACCGCCAAGCTTGCTTTTCAAGCTATGATGTAATGTAGATAAAGATATAGCAGTAACATTTCAAGCTATAGAAGCATAATTTGGTTTTCAATAGCTTACATGAGCTAATAATGCAAGTAAAAAGATAATACGATGATCGTAGTCCTTATTCTATTATCATTACATAGTATAAAACAAAGTCACATGTATGCTTAAATCTTTAAAACTACGCAACGGATTTTGTAGCCGTTTTTTTAATAGATAGAGTGATTCAAGAGGAAGGTTTATATATATAATACAGGTACACCCGGGCGAAGCCGGGGACTAGTAGCTTGTTAGCTATAAAACTTCGCTGGTAACAGTCCCCGCTGTCTTGTCCACGCCCTAACATCGAGGTAATCTTGTACAGACGATGTTATCTACCACATATGTTACGCGTGCTCGCACACACATACACACACACAAGATACTCAATGCTTTCTTTAACTAATGATTCATTAGTGAATTTATAACGGAAACAGGTAAGGGCGAGTCTCTGTAACTAACGCATAGAAATATTATTTCTTGGGACTAATTAACTTCAATTATCGAATTGTTACTTTAATTCCTAAATATTTTAATTTAATATTAATATACCAATCCATATGTCATAAGATTACGTCGTTTCGCATCTCTTGATTTACACACTAGCAACGTTATTTAACTAATAATATCTCTGGACAATTCAGACAGCACCATCTAGTCCCTAACTAAGCAGAGCTTATGTTATTGGTATTAGACAACCGATATAAATACATAAATATTTTTTTATTGAAATTCATACATATTATACATAGAAAACACCTAAACCGATACAAACAGTCATACTCATGAATACAAATGTTTTTACCGAACTTGCGAGCATTGCGACCGACGCTGTCGATATGTTTTTATTAATGAAATAACTATTTTTTTATTGAGTGGTTTGGACTATTGTTAGGTGCTTTATGTATGTAGCACTGCGACCTACATAGATCTATTTGTACTCGCCCTTTTTCAGAGTTCGCTACCTAGACCCATCAGGGACAAGAATTGAAGGATATTCTAAAGAGCAATGGTTTTGTCTCCTCAGGATAGCGTTAATACTTACCAAAGGAGATATTTGGTTTATGCTTGAGTATGCTACAACCACATAGATTAGAGTCCCGCGTAAGACCTACAAATCTGACTGGGACTAGTCAAATAGTAAAACATAATCAATACAAAACAAACTTTAACCACCAATCCCGATAGTTGTATCACATCCGGCGAGATCCGCTGATTACTTCTCAATGGACCACGTTTGAATGGCACAGGAAACAACTACAAAGCTATTACATTATAAAAAAAACAAATGGCTATGGGAACTGATAATTAGATTAGCGACGTTAATGAAATATTGTTCACTCATTAAATCGATGTTTCCTGTAGTTATGCAAATTATAATCAAGGCACTGAACAATGATGTTGCAAGCTGTAAAGCTACAAGCAATGATATAGCAATACTAGCGTATGACAGACAATCTTCTCATTATTAAATATAATAGAAAATTATTTACTTAAATAAACTTAAATTGAAGCACTTTTAACGGCTTGTTTTTGTTTTTTAAGTTGTCTCATCACAAGAAGAACGAGCAAGAAATTTGCGCGTTGCTCTTATAATTAACTTGTAACTGCATTTATAAATTAAAATATGTGTAAAGTAAAATACAAACTATCAACTAACACTAATTCTAACACTAAAGACAAAATATTAAACATACAACTGGTTGAGTAATTAAATAAGAGCAATTCGCATTATTAACCGATTTAGACGAGAAATTACTTGGATAGCTTTATTGTTCAGACAAAGATTTGTATCAAGATATCATTAAGTTAAATTATAAAAGAGATGAGGTCTCCAATGTTACCATTATAACGCATATAATAGTTATTACAATAGTTTTTAGTTATGATAATATTACATAAATCATTGATGTTTCTAGTTAAGACATAATAGAAAATCAAATTGGATAAATATTTAAAAAAGATTATAATCAATAAACGAATTTACCAACAGATTGCACATACCCCCTTAGCTGCTACAATTTAGCAAAATTATCACTCATATTCAATTTTCTAACGGATAATTTTTGTATCTTTGCAGAGAGCCACATTGGCTGAAAAAGAAGTGACCACACTCAAAGAACAATTGGCGACAACCAGCCCAACGCCTCTCCAAGCGATAGTGCCACCAAAAACCAATGGCTCACACTTAGAACCCACCAGGGACCAAGCTACAGAAACGAGGATAGACATATTTAGTCAAGATATAAAAGAAGAGAAGAGAAGATCACCAGAGATTGATGAGGAAGTAGAACATAAGATGGAAATGGCGGCGACAGGGAGGAGCAACAGCGATTCATCGAGAAGCAGTCCTGTTGTCCACCAGGGGAACAACTACGACAATGAACTGGTCGCTAAAGAGAAAGAGGTAAATATCATCTGTACTTTACTTTCTTTAAATCAATTTGACAACAGCATAGAAACAAACCTCGATCCGTTGATCATTAACATCGACAGGGAATTCATCCCCACACGCTAGAACCTAAGTGGTCTCGGACAGTGCGGTTTTAGAGGAGCTTCCTCCTGCGTTCACTTAGATTGTGGAATGAACTACCTGCTTTTTCTCACTAGACTACAGCATTGGGTTTTTCAAGAAAAGTACATTGAGGGTTCTTAAGGGTTCCTTAGTCGGCAACGAGTTATGCGTTTATTTTTTTATTGATTTAATGTATTTTTATGCATAAATAATAAAATATTAGACGTTCAAAACATAGTCCGTCCGCGCAAATTTTCGTAAAAAGAGCGTAAAGTTTTTGATTCATGTAATGATATAATAATTACCTAAAGAATGATAGATTCGATCTCAGAACCTAATATCTAGCATATTGGGACTGCTATTGAACCTGTTACCGATTTAGTAAAAAGTATATAAGACCGTGTTATAATAAGACTATCATGCAAAAGTCACAGTAATATTCAACCCATTCAAACGATCTAAAAATAAGTCAAGATGGACGGTTAGTTCAACTTGACTTATTGCCCATATAGGCCACGTATGTTTGTGTGTCTGTGCGTAGCTCATAAACTATATTTATTTAGTGCAAGGATTACCGTTCGTTCGGTGCCGATCAATCATTCCATTGAACATATCCTGTTTCCTCCTAATAGGGATGGGACGTGCCGATACGTTATCGATAATTTATCGATTTATAAAATAAACTTTCGTGCTTTTAATGAAATCGTATTCACTATAATGATCATAATCATTTCGCATTTTAATTATGAGAAACTTATAAAATTATTTCATTTTATCATTCTATTTGTTGCTAAAACTGCATTAAAATCCGTTGCGTATTTTAAAAGATCTAAGCGAACAAACAGCGGAATCGACTTCACTTTATCTAAATATATATAACTCAAAGGTGACTGACATAATAATCTATCAACGCACAGCCCAAAACACTAGACGGATCGGGCTGAAATTTGACATGCAGATATATGTTATGACGTAGGCATCCGCTAAGAAAGGATTTTGATTAATTCTACCCCCAACGGTATAAAATAGGAATTGAAACTTTGTATGAAACTTTGTCAATTTTAAACCGATCGGGCTGAGACTTTGCATGCATAAAGCTACTATGACGTAGGCATCCCCGAAGGGGTTATATTAAAGCGAGCGTAGCCGCGGGCAAATTATAGTTTTTATGAAACTTTGTCAATTTTATACCGATCGAGCTGAGACTTTGCATGCATAAAGCTACTATGACGTAGGCAAAAGAAAGGATTTTGATAAATTATAAGAACTTCCTCTTTGTATGAATCTTTGTCAATTTTAAACTGATCTGAGACTTTGCATGCGTATGACGTATGATTTAAAGGACCTACATAAGCGAATAGCCTTCCTCTTGAATCAGCGTTAAATCCGACGTATTTTTACACTTTATACTATGTAAAAAAGTATCAAATAAAATCAGATTACAAAATAATATTGAAATCAACACAATCAAATAGTATTTATTTCCTTTGTTTTGATATTTTTTTTCATAATTCAAGTCAGGAATTCACATAGCCTTCAATGAACAAATACGTGTCATTCTGTGTTTTTTTATGGAAAATACATGTTGAACGAAAAATGTAAAGTGAAAATTACAAATGCAGTGCGTTATGTCCATTGTTTTTGAAACTGCTTCTTTTTATACATAACTAGCGATCCTCCCCGTCTTCGCCCGGGTCTACATGTATTATACATATAAACCTTCCTCTTGAAACACTCTATGTATTAAAACAAACCGCTTCAAAATCCGTTGCGTAGTTTTAATGATTTAAGCATACATAGGTACAGACAGCGACAGCGACTTTGTTTTATACTATATAATGATGATGATGATGCATCTCATAGAGTATTGACTGATAAACAAACGATCGAAACTCTTTTATAAAGTACACAAATATATTTTTAACATATAATAGCAGAGAGGGTGGACTCACTGCCCTCACTGAGTTATAGACCGTTTTGTCTCAATCATTAGTTTTAAATTTTATTATTATTATTATTGCTATTATTATTATTATTATATTCCTTTCCAGTTTAATATTGATATACCTTAATTTTGAAATAGGTAGGGAAAATATATTAATACAAAAAATTTCATAATATTCATAATAGTTCATAAACGGCTAAAATGTCCTAGATATAACTTTAATTGATTATTAGATTAATTATAATAATTACAATTGACATTAGATATATTAGAATAAATAACTTTTTATTTGATTTCATATTTGTTACTCACACTTTAATTTAATTTCATAATATAGAAAGAAAGAAAGAAAGAAAGAAAGAAAGAAAGAAAGAAAGAAAGAAAGAAAGAAAGAAAGAAAGAAAGAAAGAAAGAAAAATATTTTATATTTTAAAATATAAAATATGCATCGATGTTTTATCATCGATACAGCCCCATCCCTAGATCTAGCCTGTCAAATCCAATTCAGCAATGCCCCCGCGCACATAATTGATTTATTGATCATACGTTACATTCGATACGAGATGACTTGCGCGCGCGCAGCGTCTCTTAACTACAAGGCTATTGCATCCTTTAACTGTAATTTTCTAACCAGTTAACCGGGTGACCTCAGACGAATAACTCGAGAACATTGCTGGGGGAAGAACGGATACAGATAGATCCATTTATTTTTATAAAATCATAGATTAGTATTATTATAATCTATTTATAGGATAATTCTATATTATACTAGCTGTACCCGCGACTTCGTCCGCGTGGAGTTTAACTTATTTTTCTAAATTAAAAGTAGCCAATTTCTTTTTATTGGGTTATTTGGGCTATTGTCTGATGTTTGTAGCACCTGTAACACTGCGACCTACATAGATCTATTGTGCTCACCCTTTTTCAAAGTTCGCTACCTAGACCCGTCAGGGACAAGAATTGAAGGATATTCTTAGGAGCGATGGTTTTTATCTCCTCGGGAAAGAGTGTAGTAGCCTACGTTATTCCTTATTAAGCTACCTCCCAAAAAAAGTGCGTCAAAATCGGACCAGCAACTTCAGTGATTAGCCGAAACAAACAGACAGACAGACAGACAAAAATTATAAAAAAATGTTATTTTGTTGTATGTACCGTATTTATATTCATATGCACGTAGTATAAAACGGTTATTTCAATATTACAAACAGACACTACAATTTTATTTATATGTATAGATTTAGACCATAGTTAAACTGGAATATCTTTGCATCTACTAATAAAATTGTTGTTAAAATCATTAGTATTGTTATAAGCATATCATAATTTCTGTTTAAATAAAATTGTTACTAATATATATTATATCATATCATTTCCACAGTGGTTTAGTGGTTTAGCACATCGCCTTAGTTCCGATGGTCGCGGGTTCGATTCCTCGCAGGGCATAAACATTAAATTCATAAGTATGATTGTTTGTATCGGTCTGGGTGTTTTTTATGTATAATATGTATGTATTTACGAAAAAAAATATATCAGTTATCTAGTACCCATAACACAAGCTTTAGCTAGCTTAACTTGGGTCTAGATGGCGCTGTGTGAATTGTCCTCGATTATTAAAAATCTCTTTCAGTATATATAGGCGACAGTTATCATTTCCCATCAAGCGAGCCGTTAGCTTCTCTGTCAGTCCAATTATAAAAAAATCGTCATCCAATCCTTGAATGCTTTGGCACGTTACACTACGCTAATATGACAAAAATCCAGTCACATCCATTGCCAATGCCAATTAGTGTTCACATTCACTAAATATATGATGTATACTGCCAATCAATATTAATTACATCATTATAGGTATAGTAAAATACAAAAATATTATTTGTTATTTTTGTTCAATAAAGAAATGATATTTTGTTGTAACATAATTTGGCGCGATCATTTACAATATTTAAAATGTTTTAATCATCTATACATATTAATAAAATTGGAGTATCTGTTTGTAATATTGAAATAACCGTTTTATACTACTTGCATATGAATATAAATACGGTAATACACAAAAATAACATTTTTTACAATTTTGTCTGTCTGTCTGTTTGTTCCGGCTAATCTCTGAAACGACTGGACCGATTTTGACGGGACTTTTATTGGCAGGTAGCTGATGTAATAAGGAGTAACTTAAGCTACTTTTATTTCATAAAAATTCTCTAATTAATTTGTAAATTTCACGCGGATGAAGTCGCGAGTACAGCTAGTATAAGGTAGAATTAGTATTGAATAAAATATAATTATATACTTAGATATATAATAGTGATACATTTATCTCAATCAAATCAATCACTCAACCGATCAATCAATCAATATTATCGATACGTTCAATTAAATCGATACTATAAATTCGAATGAATCGTTTCTAAACGGCTCCAATGTTACACTCAATTGTGGGATCATAACTGACCCTAGCCCACGCACTAACCTCAATTTCTGTTAGTGATATGTATTAACTACTGTAGTTGGTAAGGTATAGTCGGCTGCGCAAATAATAATAACAATAATAATTCAAATTTGAATTCAAATTCAAATTCAAAAAAAGGCGACGGATGAAAGACGACTGCATGCAACTGAAATGAGAATGTTGAGGTGGATGTGTGGTGTGACAAGAATGGATAAGATAAAGAATGAATACATTAGAGGAAGTATGAAAGTAGCGCCGGTGTCGGAGAGGTTGAAAAGTAATCATCTATCATGGTATGGACATATAATGCGTAGGAACGAGGATAATATTTTAAGAAAGATGTTACAAATGAATGTGGATGGTTATAAGGGCAGAGGAAGGCCAAAAAAGAGATGGATGGACTGTGTGAAAGATGATATGGTAAGAAAGGAAGTAAATAACGCGATGACTGCCAACAGGGATGAATGGAAGCAAAAACATATTACGCCGACCACAAAT